TTAAAACACAGCTAGAGCAATCCCAATAAAACATAATCATGCCACTCCTGTTCATATCTCCAGTGGCGTCTCATCTCTAAATGAATGCCGACACCTTACGATGACCTGCTAGGCCCCATAGGATCCATCCACCCCTACACACACATTATCTGATCTCCCTCCACTCTCCCTGAAGGCTTCACGCCAGCTCACAGGTGCGCTCCAGCTCAGGGCCTCTGCACTTGCTGATCCCTCTTTTTGGACCATCTTGCCCATTGCCACCTCCATAACTGCCTCCACTTCCTTCAAAAGTACCAAGAAAGGTAAGCCTTTCCTGGGCACTGTATGTTAAAGAGAAGCCACCGTCACCCGTTCACACCCACATGCACACTCACACATATTCTATATCCCTTTCTTCCTTCCTTTTTTTGCCTTAGCATTTCCACTAACATACCATCCGTTTGACCTATTTGTGAAGTTTATTTTTTGCTTCCCTACCAAAAAAAAAGTAAGCACCATGGGGGCTGGGGGTTTGTCTATTTTATTTACTGTTCTACCTCCAGCACTTAGAATAATATCTGGCACATAATAGGTGCTCAACAAATACTTCTTTAAAGAATAAATGAATATTAAAAAGAATTGAAAGAGTAGACTTAAAAATAGGTCCCATCGTGTTCATCCTTCTCATTATTCATAGGTCTGTTCAACCACCAATCATCTCTATCCACCCTATTTAAATAGCACCACTACAAGTCATTTTCTATGCCTTTATCCTGATTTATTTCTTCATAGCATTCACTACTGTCAATTTTCTTTTCTGTTTTCTTATTCCTTTTTTTGAGACAGAATCTCTCTTCCTCGCCCAGGTTGGAGTGCAGTGGTGTGATCTCGGCTCACTGCAACCTCCACCTCCAGGTTCAAGTTAGTCTCCTGCCTCAGCCTCCTGAGTAGCTGGGAGCTGGGATTATAGGCGCATGCCACTGCACCCAGCTTTTTTTTTTTTTTTTTTTTTTTTTTTGAGATGGAGTTTCACTCTTGTTGCCCAGGCTGGAGTGCAATGGCGTGATCTCGGCTCACTGCAACCTCCGCCTTCAAGTGATTCCTGGGTTCAAGTGATTCTCCTGCCTCAGCCTCCCAAGTAGCAGGGATTACAGGCGTCCACCACCACACCCAGCTAATTTTTTGTATTTTTAGTAGAGACGGGGTTTCACCAGGTTGGCCAGGTTGGTCTTGAACTCCTGACCTCAGGTGATCCACTTGCCTCAGCCTCCCAAAATGCTGGGATTATGGGTATGAGCTATTGCACCCAGCCCAAATTTCACTATTGAATTATTTTTTACTTTAAAAATTATTTGTCTTGCCCATTTGAAGGTAGGCTCCATGAGGGCAAATAATTTGTCCCGTATCTCCTCAGCTTAAAATGTTTTTATTTTTTCCTAATTATCAAAAATCATTTGACCATATATTTTTGGGTCTATTTCTGAATTCTTGATTCCATTCCATTGATTTATATGGGTGTCCTTTCTCCAATACTGCATTGTCTAATGTATAACTTTGTAATAAGTTAGAAATCAGAGAATATGTTAATTTCTCCTAAAAATCTTACCGGGATTTTTACTGGGATTGCTTTCAATCTATAAATCACGTTGCGGAAAATTGATGTCTTAACAATACTGAGTCGAATCCACTGGAGGGATGTACATCTGAAGATCCTATAAGCAATGGGAACTCATGTCCTATTGCCCAGCAGTTCCCTGAAATAGTGACAAGAACTGAATGGGGAAGTAGCTTTATGATTTTAAGTCTCATTAGAGATGGCTTTTCACCAATATTTTAACCTGGTTAAAATATCTCTCAATCCAAATACAGAAATCCAAACCGGAATCAATTTCACCTAACATAGAAAATTAAACTCTTTTAATTGCTAATACTGCCCAGAAGTACATGAAGTTTAGCAGTTCTCTAAAAGCTTTTGAGCACCTGAGTAATCACTCGGGTTATCTAAAATACAATGGGGTTTGTAATCTGACTGATTTGGCTTAGAATAAAAGAGCTCCTAAGATTTCAGCAGTTTCCAACCTGCATGAGGATAAATTCAGATAACGAAGAAACACAGAGTAAAAAAAAAAGGAAAAAGAAAGAAAATGTTCCTGACATTGCCTTAATTAGTCCTCATAGTTAACAGTAGCAACGGTTCAGCTACTGCCACTTCATGAATCTATACCCATCGTATTAGGGGCCATTTTATTTACTCTCTAGCTCAACCGTGTCGCTCTCTTTTTTTTTTTTTTTTTTTTTTTGATGCTCTTGCTAGGTTGGAGTGCAGTGGCACAACCTCGGCTCACTGCAACCTCTGCCTACCAGGTTCAAGCAATTCTCCCGCCTCAGTCTCCTGAGTAGCTAGGACTATAGGAGGGAGCCACAACACCAAGTTAATTTTTGTATTTTTAGTAGAGACGGGGTTTCACCATATTGGTCAGGATGGTCTTAATCTCTTGACATCGTGATCCGCCCACCTTGGCCTCCCAAAGTGCTGGGATTACAGGTGTGAGCCACCATGCCAAGTTAATTTTTGTATTTTTAGTAGAGACGGGGTTTTACCATGTTGGTCAGGATGGTCTTAATCTCTTGACATCGTGATCCGCCCACCTTGGCCTCCCAAAGTGCTGAGATTACAGGTGTGGGCCACCGCACCCTGCTGGTCTTGTCTTTATCATGACCATAACCTGGCCAGTGTTCCAGCTAGCACATAATTTCTTTTCCTAAATCAAGCTATTTTATTTATATTATTTATTTCTCAAGCAATAAATGCCAAAGCTTAGTTGGAATATTTTTTGAAAAAAAAAAAAAAATGAAGGCTAGGAGCCATGGCCCATACCAGTAATCTCAGCATTTTGGGAGGATGAGGTAGGCAGGAAGATTTCTTGAGGCCAGGGTTGGACAGCAGCCTGGTCAATGTAGGGAAACTTCATCTCTACAAAAAAATAAGTAACTTAGCCAGGTGCGGTGGTCCATGCCTGCAGTACCAGCTACTCAGGAGGTAGAAGCGGGAGGAACCCTTGAGCCCATGTTAAGGTTGCAGTGAGCCATATCTTGCCACTGCACTCTAGCCTGGACAACAGAAGGAGACCCTGAAATCCACATAGCTCTTCTTTGCCTCTTTTGGGTGAGGCTTTCATGGCCACCCTATATAAAACCACAATGCCCCAAATACTACTTATCCTCCTTCCCCACTATATTTTTTCCAGTAGTGCCTACCATATCAGACACTTTATTTACCTAGTTTTTTTCTTCTTACACTGAAATATAAACTTTTTTTGGAGATGGGGTCTCCCTCTGTCACCTAGGCTAGAGGGCAGTGGCGCGATCTCAGCTCACTGCAACCTCCGCCTTCCGGGTTCAAGCGATTCTCCTGCCTCAGCCTTTTGTGACCTTTTATGGCCTTTTGTGATTGGCTCTTTTCACTTCACATAATGTCTTCAAGACTCATACACGCTGTAGCAATGTTTCAGTACTTCATTCCTTTTTATGTCTGAAAAAACATTCCATTGCATGGATATATCACATTATCCATTCATCATCTGCATGTTTCCAGCAGAAGTACTAGCTACTTAGGAGGTTGAGGCAGAAGGGAAGCTTGAGCCCAGGGAGTTTGAGACCAGCCTGGGCAACATATTGAGATGCCATTGCAAAAAAAAAAGAAAAGAAAAAAAAATTGTTTATATATATATATATTTTTTCATTCCAGTGATTTTATTAAAGAGCTGAGCAACTATCAGTTCCACACCATGGAATCTTGAATAAATCAAGCCTAAGACTCACTGCAAATACTAAAGTGGTATCTTGAATAAATCAGGAATCGGATTAAAACCTGTGTTTAGAGCTCATGTAACTCATTTCCATCAGTGGTTAAGTGGATTTTAGCAGAAGCACTGTCAAGGAACCACAAACGGCAAGGCTGCAGCAGTGATGGCTCGAAGTACTGGAGAATTCTGGGTTTGTCAGATGAACAAGCATACAATTTTGAGAAGAAGGCTGTAAAAATCATGAAACTTTACAGAGTGTGGTGATACCATTTGTTTCTCAACCACAGAGGAAGTGAAAGTGTTACGGCAGAGGCATGGGTGCATTTACGCTTTAAATTGATAAGTGAAATGATTAGCCAGCTCAAGTTGAACTGATGGTTTTATTATTTAATTATTCTGAGGGGAAAAAATGAATGAATGAATCCACACACTTAATATCTATTCATTCATTCAGAAGTGTGTAAACAGTTATAATCATTCAATTTTGACAGATCTACTCAAAAGTGAAGAGAGACTGTGCAATCTTCAATGTGCTCTTCTCCAAATGAGCAATCTTAGGATTAAGACCACTTTGCCTGTGTGCCTAGTATTGACCACAAATAACTGTTTCAAAATGGTCATCTATTAATTTTGCTTGGGAACTGATTTTTCTTATGGCCATTTTACAGTTATGTTGGTATTATCACATTTTTATTTCTACTTCTATTAAAAGTTTAACTTTACACTTGGCTTGGCAACACAAAGAAACAACTAGCTTGATTTCTTTATAATCTGGCTGCCTAAATCCACTAGTAAAAATCAGATCTTTCCCAAATATTTTGTGCATAAGGAGGATATATTATTCCTTAAAGACTATTTTCTATTAGTGCATTATTTTCTTTAGTGTGCAAAAAGACTCTTCAAAATATGTAGAGCACTTTTCTTAAGGTGTCAGGTTTTTTCCTCTTTTCCAATACAGCTTTTCCAGTCTTCCAGGTCCACCACGGGGAGCATCAGCCACAGAAATGAGGGCCTGGATTCCTTCCAGTCAGCACAACATTCCTGGACTGCTTCTCTTCAACTACAGCAAGTACAGGTTTCACTGGTCAGATTCACATTAAGATTATGCAGACAAAAACACTGGGAAAATTAACTTACCAATCTCCTTTCCAAACGTAACATACCTCAAAGGAATATATAAACTTTTTCATTTAATAACGTACATAAAAGCCTTCGTTAAAATGTCAGTAACAACTTTTATTTACAAAGTAATTGTCCTATCACATTACATTTGGGGTTACATGTATCACTGTTGTATGCTGGTAGCATGGCTATTTGAAAGATTATAATTTATGAGCTATTACTCAGTGGGATTTTTGCAATAAGGTACTTCATGAGACAAAATGGAAAAAGGAGAATTAAATTAAAATGCACAACTAATATGTATCTACTACAGAAATAATACTTCTCAGTTGCGAACTAATCACTAGTTCACAACTAGCATCCTCATAAATATTTTGGTTCTATTGGGATACAAAATGTGATTTTGCAAACTTTGAAAAGGCACATTTTGTGACACCACCTAAGCATTTCCCTGAGAACATAAAGAAGGTTATTAACATGATGAACCATTTCAGCCTTGAAAACAGTATTCGTGGAGGAGATACCTCAGAGGTAAGGACTTGCTCAGGACCGTAAGAAAAATCTATGGGTTCTTAAATGGAAGAAAAGAAACAACTATGAAAAGCAAGACCAGCTCAGAACTCCTCCTGAGGAAGAGATGAGATACGATAGGATTGTCCCTGTCCCAAAATATTGCTATCCTTCCATAAGCTGCTGGAATGTTTCTTCATTCCGTTCTCCCATTCTCTGTGAACAAGAATCAGTGGGTTATGAGGCATTCTCTAAAAATGCAGGTGCGGCAGTCATGGGAATGGCAGTCGGCCCAATGCAGGTGTCAGGAGTTTCAGATGTGGAGAAGAAAATCACAAGGCATTCATTGTTTCTGTGATGAAGTGTGATCTGCTTTCTTCTCAGCACCACATGACATCAGACTTAGAGAACTAATGAGAGGAGAAGGGTGGGTGACTCTGGAATATGAAGAACCTCAGGAGGGAAGATGGAGGCCAATGGGAAGGCTCTCAGTTGGCAGAGGTGAGCAAAATTCCCAGGAGTGCACCTGGATCTCAAGGGCATTAGGAGGTGAAAATGAGTGGAAAAATTAAAAGGAGAAAGACCTTGTTCTTAGGAAAAGGGGTGGAAAGTTGCACTGTCCTTCCTCCGAACTGCTCACACTACCCTGTCTCACAGACCCAAAACTCAGGCAGGCACCTTCAGTATCACAGGTCAGGTACATTAGAGTTGAATCTGTTGAGGGAGGCTTGGCCTGGAAACTCAATCACCAATTCATGGTATTGTTTCTGTGGAAAAGTGTCTCAAAGTCTGCTTGTAAGCCACTTGTTTGAAACATGATAAAGAATCCCTTCATAAGATTGTTTACTTGTGGACAATTTTAGAAGTGCAATCTCAGTTTTAGACTACAGTCACTATGCTCTGAATCTCCAAATACATTGTACAACTTATTAAAAAAAAAAAAAAAAAAAAAAGCCTCTTGGCCAGGCGCAGTGGCTCACGCCTGTAATCCCAGCACTTTGCGAGGCTGAGGTGGGCGGATCACAAGGTCAGGAGATCAAGACCAGCCTGGCTAACACGGTGAAACCACTTCTCTACTAAAAACACACACAAAAAATTAGCCAGGCATGTTGGTGGGCACCTGTGGTCCCAGCTACTTGGGAGGCTGAGGCAGGAGAATGGCATGAACCCAGAAGGCGGAGCTTGCAGTGAGCCGAGATGTGCCACTGCACTCCAGCCTGGGCGACAGAGCAAGATTCTGTCTCAAAAAAAAAAAAAAAAAAAGAGCCTTCTGTAAGGAAAAAAATGCCCAACATTTGTGTCACCATGATCAAACTTTTGTATTATATATTCAGATACAGCAATATTTCCTACTGATATTTACTATTTAAATGATATGTAGGCACTACAGAATAAATAGCTCTCCTTTCAGACATAGAGCAAATCTAATAATCTATCACTTGAAATACTCTATATACAAGTACTTTATATCACTCTAAAGATACAGTCAAGAGGTAATGCTTTAAGGCTACATATGAAGGCTATCTTGGTTATTGAAAATGTGTATAAGCAACAAAAACACTTTTGCAAAATGTAGTAGAAACGAATCATTATTGCCATCTTAGAAAGAAAAGGTATTACACAGCAACTAGACATTCAAAATGGTATCCTAAAACTTATTGCTATTGTTCTATTAGGACAGATTATTGCTCAAAACTGCCCATTTTAAAACATCAAGAAATTCTCTCGTTTTTGTTATCTTTTCAGGCAAGGCAACATCACAATAAAAACTTTTAAAGTTAAACTTTTAAAGTTAAAAGTGAAATTTATTACAATACAATAAATGCGAGTGTCATTATTAAAAAATGCTGGTTAAAATTATAAAGTATCTAAATAATTTTTCTAATATAAATATTGGAAACAACAACTTTAACAATTCTATATGTACACAGGACATTGAAAACATAAAATCATGCACAAGTCCAAAAAATAACGTTGCACATTAACACTTTAGTTATTACTTTCTATTTTCTGGTCCCAGCATCATATCTGCTAATTACTCAGATCACAAGCCTCAAGGATTAAGTGTTTTGAATGTATTTCAGTTTCATACTTTAAAAATGCTTAAAGACTATTGGTTGTATTCTGATCAAATGGTTCTCCTTCCCATATTTCCCTTCCTCAACAGATCTTAGAAAAAGATGAGCTGGGAAAACTGTGATCACAGGATCCAACATGACATGTATACCCAATGATTCATTTAAGGGTGGCATAAAGTTATATAGAAAAGACCTACAGGATAGAAGACAATAAGTACATCAACATGTAGTGAAATCAAGCAGTTCATCCACTGCGTGCTTACATGGCTCCTGTATCACTTCAGGAAGAAGCCAGAGTCGCAGAGAAGTCAGGGCAAACCAGAACTGCTGAAGAGTAGGGGTGGGGGGCAGAGGGAAGGAGCTGGGGAGAAGCCCAGATCATAAAGGAAATGTAAAAGAGTCACATATCTATTCTTCCCGTCCTGCTAATGCAGGGGCTGGCTCCAGCCCAGCCTCCCAGCCCACATCTCAGTGGAGCCCTTCCCCCAGCATTGCCTTTCAGATGAGAAGATACATCTGTTCCCCACTGAGAATTTTTTTGGGGGAGAGGGGCTTTTTTGTTGTTTTTTAACTTATTTTGATTATATATTTACAAATTATTGTATATATTTATAGGGTACAATATGGTGTTATGAGTTTTGAATATAAGGTGGAATGATTACACTAATTAACATACGACCTCAAATATTTAACTTTTTAATGAAAACATTAGAAATTTACTCTCTTAGCAATACTGAAATATACATTCAATTATTCCTATATTTAGCATGCTGTGCAAGTGATCTTAAAAAAAAAAAAAATCACACTTATTCCTCCTGAGGCTTTGTACCCTTTGACTATCTCCCAATTCTGAGAACACTTTTCACAAATTTGAGGAACAGCCTAAATATTATAGGCTTGAACATCTGAACTTGAGGGCAGCTGAGACTTTTTTTTTGTTTTCAAACAAATGAGCAGGTAACACCCAGAGAGGTTAAGTGGTTTAGCCACTGGGAAGATAAGGAAGTTGGGTGTGATGTTTACTTCTCTATGACGATGCTTCTCAAACCTTCATGTGCATACAGCTCCTGTGGATCTCATCAAAATGCCCTGGGTCCAGAGTGGGGCTTCAGATTCTGCACTTATCTAATAAGGCCCTAGGAAATGTTGAGGCTCTTGGTCTGTGGGCCACACTTTGAATAGCATGGACTACAACACAAGGAGGGATCCACCCCTGCCTTCCTGGGCCATGAGAGACCTGCTTCAGTGTTATCTGCCTCTCCAAGCACATCCCCAAGCAAAAGGTTTACATGCACTGCGTAAGGTGGCAGCTGTCTACAAGACTGGGTTAACATATTGTCTGACAGCACCATGACTACATGAACAGCCAAAAGAGTAACATAATTTGAGTAACATAATCTAAATCTGACAGGTCTATTTGCTGAGAATAAAACTCATCTTTTACTTATGAAGTCTTCCTTAAAGTGAACGTGATATAAAGGTATTAAAAAAACCCAGCATATTAAATTTCATAGTAAAATGCTGCATGTGCACAAGTATACAGATAGTATGAGTTCTAAGAAATTCAATGCACTGTAATCAGAATAAAGTGCTACCACTGCTCCCAGCTAAAATCATCTCCTCTTCCAAATATAAGGAAAAACCCTTGAATTGTAAGGAAAATGACTGCATTGCCTGCCAACACAAGGCCACAGGCTCCCCATTTGATCTGAAAGACAAGAAAAGAAGGATTAAATCCTTACTTCCCTCATATCGTACTCTTTGCAATCTCTATTATTTTCTGCATTAGAAACATCCAATGAAATATTACACAAAGCTGCTAAAAGGCTTAATAATGTAACAGACAGGAGACAATGAACTGTTCAGTAATGAGTCTAATTACTTCTGTGATACTTGTTAATTAAGTCTGGTATCATCCTTAACATTTTCCCAATTAGACATATTTCTCTACTTGTTTTTAATTGACAATGATTGCCTTAAGTAAAACTCAAGTGGTAAGATTATAAATAGTGCAATTACAATATTGGGTACTGAAAGTTTTGCACACATCAACTTCTTTCATGGAAAATAAAAATTGGAGAGTTATGAATTTGTTTGTTTCTTTTCTAGGCAAGAAAAGACTTTAAATAATAGTCTTTATACAACTGAAAACTGCTTTCCAGCTTGGTAAATGGTTTGTAGATGGTTTTACAGAAGCACATTTGGGGGTGAGAGTACCCTCTAGTGGGCATTTTTTGTTTTACTTTAATCAATAGAAACGTCAATGAAAGTTTCTTCACAAAACATGACGACAGTATTGAAAGGAAAAAACATAAATATTTACTGCAGCACTTAAGAAGCGCTGGTCTAAAGCACAAGAAGAATAAAGTCATGACAATCTTGTTGTATTAAAAAACTTTCAATCCTTCCCAATTATCTAGTCAAAGTTCAAGACCCTTGCTAGTCAGGTTTCACAGCCTTTCCAGCCTTAATCTCAACAACTTTCTTTTAGCTCTACCACACTGGACTCTTCTTTATTCCATACACTGCATTCTTACACGTGAATGTCATTCCATATAACAGCCATCCTACCTTAACACAAATGCTATTTATCCTTAGAGGCCCCTACCAAATGCCAGTTGGAATTTCTCTCTTCTTGGTGCCCTATGGCATTCTGATCATGCTTCAACCATCTCACATAGTACACTTACAGTATACTTAGCCAGCAAGCTGGTTTCTGTGTTCCTTAGGAGCACAGACAGTACCTATTTCTTATTTCTGGTGTTTTACAGTAGCAGTTGTTCCAAAGATATTTATTGAATAAATAAACAAGACTTGCGCTCAAATGATATTTAATGCCTCAAATAAGATTTCATAAAATTAAAACGGAATGTAATTGGAGGGAATAAAATCAAATAGGAGGAGAGATAGTGAACATCAAATAATTGAATAAATTATACCTACAATGTGTACTTTGAAGACAAAAAGAAAGTTTTTGTCTTGGAAGTGAAGATGTCATCTTATTCACTGCATTTTCTGGAAGCTACATAGTTGTCCCTCAACATATACCTATTCTACTGCATTGAGAGTTGAGTCCATGATCCCATTTGCAGGAGAAGAATTTGAAATATCTTCATCTTGCAACTAGAAAAGTACTGCTAGCATAGTATCTGTGGATTACTGTAAGACTTAAGAGGCAGAAATTTAAGAACAATTCCAGAGAATAACTTAAAGTAGAAAAAGAAAGAAATCATACAGTCTGGCTAAAAGTTGTAAGAGAAATAAAGAAAGCACTCTGAAAGCATGATCGAGCTACTGATAGGCAGGTCTAAAGTAGAAGAACAGAGAAACTAAAAATACATGGCCCTGAGTATAAAGCCTAAGTAATGAACATGAAATGGAGGTCCCAGACACAGGCTTCTGAAGTAAACTCAGCAACAGTTGAGCAAAACAATAGAAAATAAAACTTACCACAGCCACACGAGCAAGAATAACAGGAAATCCAAAGGCAGAAACAACAATTCCAGTAGTGAAGAAATATGCCAGTTCCCGACAGGCACTACTGGTTGCGTCTGAGTCATAGGTGACTCTTTTGGCAATGAAATGGGGTATGGGGGAGATGGCGTGGAAAATCAGGACGAATAAGGGCCAGTAAACGCTGTCAGTTGGACCCAGGCAAAATCCAAAAAGAAAAGTAACAGTTACATTTTAAATGAAAGACATACTACTATTTCAAAATCATTGCTATTTTAAATGTTTAGGTCAAAAAATTAATTAATTGTGAATATAAGAACATAAGATGATTTCTACCAGATAAGTAGTGATAATTTTAAAATTACTATGTAGGTAGCTTATATTGTGTTAAGAAACCACTGTATAATATAATCTCTAGAAACTTTACTGTTTTCTGTACCACTGAGCCACAATTTCTTTAGAGACAGAATTTTAACTTGGTCATTTCTGCTTTCCCTGTAGAACATAGTAGAGTGTCTTGCAAAAGCTAATTTGGTAAAGATCTTTTGAGTGCATGCATGCTTGAAACCTTTTAAGGGCTTAGAATAAACCCCAAATTCGTTGTCTTTGCTTACAAAGCCTTACATGGTGTGGTATTATCTACTTCTTCCATTCATTTTGTACTCCTTTCCCTTCATTTGCTTAATCTGTAGCCACACCAGCCTTCTTTCTGTTCTTTGAACACTCTGAGCTCATAACTGTTATCCTAGGGCCTTTGCACTAGCTGTGCTGCCTGCTTGCAATGTTCTTCTCATTGGCTGACTCCTTCATACCATGTGATCTAAACTGACAGATTCCTTTCTAAAAGCGGAACTTTCCCTGGCCATCTATTCTAAAGTACCCCAGGTCACCCTTGAACATACCACCATCTTTTAACTTTCTGCACAACACTTATTCCCATCTGATAGATTAGTCTTGGTCAAACGCCATTTATCTCCAGGGCCTAGAATGATGTACTCCATTCATACTTGTTAAATGAATAAAATAACAAATAAATTTTAAGTACAGAAGGCATGAAAATAAATATGCTCACTAGTGAAAACCTTAGATGTACTCTAATCTTCATTACAATAGCTCACAATTGATAGTGTAATGCAAAAACAAAACAAAACTGTTTTCCTCCCAAATTTCAAGGTTTTGCAATTATTAAAAAAATTGCCATCTGGTTTCCAATGGTATTTTCTCTATAAATACTTCAAAAATAATCTTTTTTTCTCCATCAAGACATTTGTTATGCTTCATTTCTTAAGAAAAAAAAAGTCTCTGCTCATTTTCATCTATACACCACAGTAATTCATATCGCCACAATACTGTGATCACACAGACACACCCAGACCGCACCTACAAGCAGGAGTGAGGATGAAGCCACGCTAATGAAAGCCTCCCATTCCAGCCACAGATCTGGGTAACCAAAAGGCAAGAAGGGAATGTGTCCTTCAAGAGGACTCAGGATGGAAACAGTGGATTTGGACTCCTGATTCTAAAGTAGAGGAATGTTAGTATGTTTCAAGAATCACCAAACAATATTGTGGGAAGGAGCCCTTAGACATTCTCTACTTCACAGCCCTTCTTTGAACAGTGAGAAAGGAGATACAGAGAAGGGAAGGGGTTTGGAATAGAAATAGCTGTCACCTGACATATCCACAGCCAAGAACTCTTAATTTTTCCTGGAATATAGTGACAATTTTGTGAAAAACAACCTGACTTTATGTTTCCATTCATAGTAAGCCACCAATATCCAACTAAGAGAAATGTTCATATACAAGAAACCTTGTTTATATATAAAATGTAAATATTAAGTATATACAATTCAGTAAACATGTAGGCCAGGGGTCGGCAAACTTTTTCTGTAAAGGGCCAAAGAGTAAATAATGAGGATCTGCAAACCATAAAGACTATCTCAACTACTCAACTCTGCCCAAGATAATTGGCAGAGCAACGCAAAAGCAGCCAAAGATAATTCATAAACAAATGAGCATGGCTGTATTTCAATAAAACCTTTATTACAAAAACAGGTAGCAGGTTATATGTGGCAGTTTGCTGACTTCCAATACAGATGATAATCCTGGTTCACTATCATTAAGATACAGCTTTGGGAGGCCAAGGCGGGAGGATGACTTCAGGCCAGGAGTTCAAGACCAGCCTGAGCAACACAGAGAGACTCCGTCTCTACAAAAACTTTTTTTAAAAATCAGCTGGGTGTTGTGGCATCTCTAAAAAACAAAAAATTAAAATAAAGATAGAAAACAAACTTCTTTGTAGTAGCAGTAATGAGTCATTTTCTTACCTTACAAAGACCCAGTGTATCACAGAGAATTAAAACTCCTAGATTTACAGTTGGTTGTGGAATAATGGAAAAACGTTTGGTCAAGAGCATAAGAACATGAGCTCCATTTCCATGTCTGCGATTTTAATTTTTTTTTTTTTTTTTTTTTTTTTTTACTTTTTTATTTAAGAGACGGAGTCTCGCTCTGTCGCCCAGGCTGGACTGCAGTGGTGCGATTACAGCCCACTGCAGCCTCCAACCCCTAGGCTCAACCAATCTTCCCACCTCAGCCTCCCAACCCTGCTACAGGCACCATGCCTGGCTGATTTTATTTTAGTTTTTTGTAGAATGGGGTCTCACTTTGTTGCCCAGACTGGTCTCAAATTCCTGGCTTCAAACAATCCTCCTACTGCTGCCTCCCAAAGTGCTGGGATTATAGGCATGAGCAACCATGCCCGGCCTCTGTCACTTATTGCTGTGTAATCTGGGTAAGTCTTTAACTACTCTGGGCTTTGGTTTCCCAGCAAGAAATGAGGATAATAATACCTTATTACATTCCTAAATCTAGAATAAAGTAATTGCTGTGAAGGTTCTAAACAAATATAAGTGACTGCTTATATTTGGATCCCTCTTGGGTTTAAACAATTTCCATAATAGTTGGCCAGGACTGTGGTGATGGATTTAAATTCATCACTGTCATAACAACTCACTTCAGTTGGTCTCACTTAACCACATCATCATCTTCATCTTCTTTATTTTTTATTTTTTTATTTTTTGGAGACAGTCTTGCTCTGTCGTCAGGCTGGAGTGCAGTGGCATGATCTCAGCTCACTACAACCTCCGCCTCCTGGGTTCAAGTGATTCTCCTGCCTCAGCCTCCTAAGTAGCTGGGACCACAGGCGTGTGCTCCCACGCCCAGCTAATTTTTTGTATTTTTAGTAGAGACGGGGTTTCACCATGTTGCCTAGGATGGTCTTGATCTCTTGACCTCATGATCCACCCGCCTCAGCCTCCCAAAGTGCTGGGATTACAGGCGTGAGCCACGGTGCCCAGCCTAATCAGATCATCTTCTATCTGGTTGTTCAAGCCAATCACCTGAGAGACATCTAAGAACTCTCTCTCCTTGTTGAATCTTGACATCAATTAACAAAACCTGTTGGTTGGTTTGGTTTCCTAACTCTCTCTCCTTTTCTTTCCATTCCTACTACCCCAGCCCTCAATTTTGCTTGATTTATGACAGTAGTCCCTTACTATTCTCCCTGACTGCAGTCTCAGCTCTTTCCTGTCTGGTCTCACGTTATGGCTAGAATGACATTTTAACATAACCCCCTCCTCCAAACCCATTCTCAAGATATTTTCCCAGCTCCTATTGTCTGATGTATAAAATGGAACCTCCTCTACATGGCAGGCATGTAGAGCCCTAAGTGCTGACTTTTGCACTCTTGACTAACCCTTCTTTTGCCACTCCAACTACAATTTATGCTGTACCATAATGTACCATGTGCGGTTTCCTGAAAAGGCTATATATGCTTTCATGTCTCTGGGCCTTAGCATACAGCTTTCCTGGTGCCTAAAGCACTTTTTCCCTAGAGATCTGTATGACCTGCTTCCTGATTTTCTTGACAATTCTTCTCACTTTTTACCTCCTCTGAGAGGCCCTCCCTGAGCACTGTCTTCCCAGCTTCTATGCTCTTCATCTTTTGTACCACTTCTACCTCTGGCAGTATGCACACTTTTGTTGTTTACTATCTGTCTCCCCAACTGAAACACAAACTCTGACAGAGCAGGACCTTTGTTTTCTTATGTCTTAATCCCTAGTTCCCATCACAGTAGCTGGCACATGGGAAGCATTCAACCAACAATGGTTGAATAAAAAAATGTGTAGAATGTTCCCTCTGCCTGGAATGTTCTCCCCTGACTCATCAGCCTGAGAAACTCTTATTTATCCACCAAGTCTTGGCTCAGATACAACCTCTGCCATGCAGCCTTCCCTGACTGTCCCACTGAAACTCAGAAGCACTTTATCTGAGCTCCAGCATACTTGGCCGGCATCTCCACTGCAGCTGCCATCTTACTGACCAGACTGTTTGCCTGTCTCTCATTCCCAACTAGAACTGTACCTCTTTGAGGAGAGGACTGTGTCTCTTCATTTGTGTGTCCCTAGCTAGCCCAGAGTAGGTGTTAAACAAATGCTTACGGAATGAATACATCAATTTTTTTTTTTAACAGAGCCCTTTTTTTTCCTGCAAAAGTACACCTGACCCACAAAGGGAAGGTGTTCATAATCTGGGCTCCACTAACTCATTGGTTAGAACTTGGTGCTAAATTGACCAAACTCTCTAACACCCATACTAATAGTGACAAAGACACAGAAAGAGGAATGGTTCTTTTTGAAATGATAACTTACCCATAATCCTCTAAGGCACATCCCAGCATAAGAAAAGTCAGCCCAATAGCCCCACTGAAGGATAATGCCACAAGAGCTGTGAAAAATAAAGCCAAGAGTTAAAGTTCCCACAGTAGAGATTGTCAGGGGCTAGAGGGTTTGGGGAAACGGGGAGTGACTTCTAAATAGGTCCAGAGTTTCTTTGGGAGATGATAAAATTTTCTGGAATTAGATAGTAGTGATGACTGCACAACCTTCTGAATATACTAAAAACCATGAAATCTTACAGTTTAAAAATGTTAATTTTATGGTATGTGAGTCATTTATCAATAAAAATGTTTACAAAAAAAAGAAAGAAAAAAAGGTCCCAAATTCGAGCAAAAGTAGCAATTTACTCATTTCACTGAGGTTACATTTGATCCCTGTTACAGACTGCATTGTGTGTGTCCCTTTCAAATTCATATGTTGAAACCTTCCTGGCTCCACCCCTCTCACCGTGAGACGCCATTAGGAGGTGGGTCTTTGGGAGATAACTGGCTTCAGATGAGGTCATGAGTGTAGGGTCTCCAGGATGGGATGAGTGTCCTTATAAGAAGAGAGAAAGTAGAGCACATGCTCTTCTCTTTCTCTCCCTCTGTTCTCCAAGGTGAGAGCAGAAAGCAGGCCTGCAAACCAGGAAGAAGGCTCTCACCAGATACCAGATCTGACTGCACCAAAATTTTGGACTTCCCAGTCTTCAGAACTGTGGAAACTAAATGTTGGTTGTTTAAGCCACCCAGTCTACAATATATTTCTTATAGTAGCCCAAACTGATTAAGACAATGACCCATGTCTGCCACCTTAAAATCATAAGGTATACAAAGGTCTCAAGTAATTCCTATACCTAACCCCTATCCAATGTATGTATATTTGTCACCAGAGGGCAGTCAGTCGGTCCACACAACTCCAGTGAAGGAAAACTCACTACCACTCAAGACAGGTTTAATTTAATTCCAACAGTTTCTAAATGTTGAAAGCCCTCCTTCTTTAAATTATATCCAGAACTGCCTCCCTGTAATATATACCTTTGATCATTTTGCCTCCCCAAACCACGGTACTTCAAGTATTCGAAGATTGTTTTCATGTCTTTGTAGGAAACAATTCTCAACTAGTGTCCACTGAATAAAATATTTATTCCCTGTATCTACTGGACACTAGTCTCTGTGGGAGTAGGAACGTATTTGCCCTTGTTGTGCTGCTGAGTGAGAAACAGAGTATCAAGGTTGTTAAAAAATTTTGAGCTCTGAGTCACAAATATGAGTCAAATCTTAACTCTGCCACCATCTGGTCTTATGACCTTGGGTAGAAGCTAAACCTCTGAACCTGATTTCTCACCTGTAAAATGGAAATAATGGTGCCACCTTATTGAGCTTATGGGAATTAAATGAGATAATCTATGTAAAGTGCTTGGCAAAAGGAGGTAGTCAAATAAATACTGACTGACTCAAGTATCTACTCATTTTAGCAATGTTCTTTGATAAAAGTAGAAATCAAAAGCATAGGAGACTATCTTATCCAAATTTTCTTCTGAAAAAAGTCCATAATATTCATAATTAGAATTTAATTAATTAAGCTAATAAACATGTTTGATTGCTTCCTTTTACTTGAGAGAAGATTTAGAGAGACTCTTTAATAGGAAGGTGCCAAAGTGCTTTTTTAAAAACATCTGAAAGTATACAGATGTTAGGGGACAAAGAAAAACTGTCAATTTTAACATATCTTTTTACATTTCCACTCTTCAATGGAAAATGCCCATGTGTGGATGGAAAGCAAATACCACATATTATTTCATTACAGATGATCTTTTCCTGGCGGGCTTTGCTCCCCTCCTCTGTGCCTGACCATCTGCAGTAACCCCTCCTCCATGAGGCCTGTCAAAGCTAGGAACTGCAGACCTCTTCCTTCTGTTCTGATACCAGTTTCTCAAGGTTCACAACCATCTTTCTGTTTGATTCTTTTTGGTCTTTTTTTTTTTTTCCTCTTTTTTCAGGAATCACATCCTCTGCATCTCTTAAAGTTGGAGTTGACCAAAAATCCAACCCCATCTCTCTTTTCACTCCACACACTCCAGCTGAAAACTTACGTTCAACCCAAAGCTCCCAGTACCACAAGGGCCCAGCCACCACTGATGCTCCAGCCCAGAGTAGGTCCTATAGAACTAGGCCTGTACTTCCACCTCCAATCTGAACTCCTCTGCCTTGACAGTCAACAAGAACCTCAAATTCAACATGTGTAACGTGTAAAACTGAACCACTATCCCCACCCTTTAAAGGTCCTATCTTAGAGGGCTGACACCATAATTGCATTCCACCTTCCAACGAATCAGTAAGTCAAGGTGACTCAATCTCCCAGACTTCTTAAACTCTCTGCTACAGCCCTGGTGCAGGCCCTTATCCTCTCATTCCTGCCTCTGTGACTCTTCCAGTCCATCCTCTACACAGCAGACAGTGATCTTTCAACTATATATATCACTGCTGCCATCCCTTTGCAATTGCTTCCACAGGCTACAAGTTGTTCTGGCATGGAGGCTCCCCATGGCCTGACTCATTCCTAACTGCCTGTCCAGCTTCAACCCTCACCACTAAGTTCCAGTCTCACTAATGAAGCTTAAGTACCTGAAGAAAAGAAGGTGTGTTATTTCATGCGCCCTGCACCATGTCACGTGCTGTCCTCCCCCCTTGGGATATACTCCACCTTCACTCCATGCCTTGCCAAGTGAAGCCATATTGATCCCTTCAGATTCAGTTCAAGTATTGCCTCTTCTGTGAAAACAGTCCTCTCTGTGGAGCACGGGAAATTAATCTCACCTGGATCAGTTTCCTAGGGCTGCCGTTACAAAGTACCACAAACTGGATGGCTGAGAACAACAGAAATTTATCTTCTGACAGTTCTGGAGGCTGGACTTCTGAAACCAAGGTGTCAGCAGCGACACCACACTCCCTCTGAAGGCTGCAGGGAAGCACTCTTCCTTGCCTCTTCCTAATACTCAGTGGTTGCCAACATGGTTGCCAACAATCTTTGGTGCTCCTGGCTTTGTAGCTGCATCACTCCAATTTCTGTCTCCATTTTCACATGGTATTCTCCCTGTATGTCTCCATGTCTAAATTCCCCTCTTCTTATAAGAACACCAGTCATTGGATTAGGGTCCACCTTAAACCAGTATAATTTTAACTTGCTTATATCTGCAAAGACACTACTTCCAAATAAGATCACATTCACAGGTACTAGGGAATTAGAGCCTGAATATATCTTTTTGGAGGACAAAAATTCAACCTACCATCTCTGTTCTCCCACCGCATCTGAGCACACCATAAACACTCACATAGTAATATAATTATTTCCAGCTCTGTCATCCCCCAATAACTTCTCATTTATCTTTGTACCCTAAGTCTCTGGCATACAGTAGTTCCTCAATAAAAGTTGAAGAATCTGTAAAATGCTTCCTTCCCTTAGTCCTTTTCCATTTCGGACTTCCTTTTTTTTCACCACATTACAATTTTCTAACACATTCACACATGTAACATGATCATGATTTGGCAGTTTCTGATCATGTGTTGTACTGAGACACTACTTTTCATGTTTTCGGCATTGGCTTCAAAAGGATGTATAACACACAGTCGACACTCTCCAAGTAAACCATGTTTACTAAACTGATATTGAGTGTAAAAGTCAGTCAGAAATAATGATAAAATATGTCTACCGCTAACATCTCACACACTCGGATAAATTCATAGTGAACAGAGGCGTACTTGTGTATACACATGTTTATAGCAGATATTAACTGGGGATATCTTTGGGTGCAAATTTCAAGAATGATACAAGCGCCAACATAAAAACAAGTCATGCTACTCTATTCGACAGATTAGAAATGGAATGGTTTCCTACCAAAATACAGGAAGCCTTGCAAAAAACCTTTTCCGTCTCACATTGCTCTAACGCCATACAGATAAGGTACACGGTGTTTTTATCAACTGCCCCAGGCAAAAAACACATACTACACAAACACTACTTTCTTCTCTATGCATAGACGAACAGAGAAAACATCGAAGAAAGCAGTATTAAAATTACACGTAATCTACTCTCCACGACTGCGAGAAACACCGTCTTTCTGGATGCTTTCCATTGACACCCGCCCGCAGTCAACTCTGCCCAGTTGGAAAAATCATTAGGAAAAAGAGGATTAAGTTTCCCAATGCTAAGAACGCTGGAGACAAAGCGTCCTTTGTAGCAAATAGGAAACTGCGGAGGGGCAGAAAACCGGAGGAAAGGCGTTAGGGTGGACACGTCAAGAAGTGGAAACCCGGTTTAAAAACTCGAGAGGGGTGGAGGGCGCCGCTCTCGCCGAGGGCTCCGCCTGGGGAGGGGTCTGGTGCCGCCACTGGAGAGCAGGAAGGCCAGCGGCCTCGTAAAAAGGGCCGAGGCTCCCCCGAAACGCCGCTCCACCCGCACCCCAAGGGACGAAGGGAGCGGGCGATCGCCTCCCCACCCGGAGAGGCGGGAAGGGTGGTGAGGCCGTTCCCCAGAGGCGCGCGGAAGGCGCAGCCCCAGGCTTGACTGGAACGGAGGTGGCAACCCCACCACACGACGAGCGGGCCGGGGACCGCGATGTACCTTTAACGCCCGCCATGTCTCCCGAGCTGGGGCCGCGGCTGCTTCCGGCTTCCTGCCACGGCCCAGGCAGCCTGCCCAAGCCAGACCGGGAGTCGCCCCGCGGATCCCGAGCCCGCCCCGGCCACGCAGAGCCCCGCCCCCGCCGGTGCAGAACCCCGACCGTAGCTCGCAAACGCCGCGCCTGCTGGTCCAGACCCCTCCCCGACCACTCAGAGCCCCGCCCCCGCCGGTGCAGAACCCCGCCCCCAGCTCGCAGAGGCCGCGCCTGCTAGTTCAGACCCCGCCTCGCTACTCAGAGCCCCTCCCCTGACGGTACAGAGCTCCTCCCCTAGCTCGCAGAGGCAGCGCCTGCTGCTCCAGACCCCGCTACCGCTACTCAGAGCCCCGCCCCTGATAGTGCAGAGCTTCTCCCCTAGCTCGCGGAGGCCGCCCCTGCTGGTCCCGCCCTATCCCTCACTGGCCCAGAATTCCGCCCCCAACTCTCAGAGGCCTCCCCTTGTTGGTCCCGACCCCGCCCCCACCACTCAGAACTCCGTTCCTGCCAGTCTAGAACTCTGCCCCCAGCTCGCAGAGTCCAGCTCCAGCCCTAAGACCCCACCTGGCCCCACAAAGCTTCCCCAGAGTAACCCCAACCCAGTGCCCTGGACCCTACTCCTAGATCCTGAGCCCTCTGGCTAATCCTCAAGCCCGTTCCTTTTGTGGGCTGGGACCTTGGCTCCGCCCGGACCTCGGGCCCAGAGTCTCTCCAGGGCCGCTCAGAACGCAGTGCACGCAGCGGGGGATCCTCCCTGAGCCTTCCTGAGAACGGAGATGTAGACAAGTGGAGAGAGGGAGGAGAGAGGAGAGGAAAAGTTGCAGTCGATGGGAGAGGGACACCGACTCACTAACCAGTGTTATGTTCCCTGAGCTCCCAAGTGCGTGCTTGTGTGCGAGTGTGTGCCTGTCTGCCTTCACATGACTGTGGAAGGGGAGGGGCGGGGTACCAGAGGACAGGCCCCTTAGGAAACACACCTCGTTAAGAACTTGATATTTGCATAGGTTTGCTTTGCTTCATAGCAACGCTTTACTGAAACCAGCGGGGTTTTTCTTTACTCCCTGGTTTATTTGTAGAGACGAAGACCATATAAGCTTTTGTGTCCGAAGCTTTCATGAACCTTAAAAAAAAAAAAAAAAGGCTATTATTTTTGTGCCTTGGGGCCTCAAAGTTTGCAGTTTTTAGATCTCTGAGAGTCATTGTGTACTTATCTCACAGGAGTGGAGAGTTCTGTTTTGGCAAGAGCAATCTAGAAGATCATTGAAACAGTCTGGTCTAAATGCTTCATCTTACATTTAAGGAAAGAGGTGCAGAAAGGGTAGGACTTGCCTGTCACACAGCTCTTTGGAGGAGGTTGGATTCTGGGCCACTTCCCCTCATTCCAGCTGAGATCCACTCTACCTGATGGTTAGGTCCCTCTTCTCTTGCTTTTTCTATTTTCAAAAGGACTGAAAGACAAAGGAATCTGTAGAAACTTAGCTTCCCCTGGCTACCTGAGAAGTATAAATTCTCACCACGATCACGTTTCAGGATCCTTGCTCAGTTTACTTTTTCAAAATTGCACATTGAGCATGTTATTGTTTCAATAAATGTCTATTTGTTGATTCAGTGGAGTATTTTTCTAGCTGTCAGTTTATTTTTCTAGCTCCTCTCATTTCTCCTCATAGACGGATGGCACTTTCACTGAAAACAGCATTGTAATACCTGACTCACTGCAGATGCTTGGAGATCCCGTACTACATGGCACTTTTTACTTTGGAGCCTTCAATCTACTCAAGAGCATGGGCAGTGTATGCCACTTTGGTTTAAGGATTATTTTGAGCTGAAGGCAATTAGGAAGAAGCAAATAGGTACAAGGTACTAGAAAAGCACTCTGCCCTCCCTCCATTTGC